TGGTTTGTCGTGTTGCCCTTTATAAGCTAAATACCCTTGAAGTAAGCAAAGAGAGGGATTATTGGTTACAAACTCAATGTGTCCAGGGAAAGAGTTGTATATAGGACAGAAGTTTGGAATCTAGTTTTCCATATTTTTCATATTAAAGGATCTGGAGGTGGTGGGAGTGCAGGATTGAGTGCCTGAGAAATGACCACAGGACCAAGAACAGCCAAAAACGTGCTGAGGATGGTCATTGCACTGGTCTGAAGATTGGACAATTAAAACAAAAATTGTGTGTAGGATATGAGTAAAAGACACAAGCGGCTCTTGGGAGCAGTCACTAAAGGCATTTTTTTTTTTTTAAGAAGATTGGCCCTGTGCTAACATCTGTTGCCAATCTTCCTCTTTTTTCTTTTTTCTCGCCAAAGCCCTAGTACATAGTTGTCTAACATAGTTGTAGAGTTGTAGCTCTTCTATATGAGATGCCACCTCAGCATGGCTTGACCGGTGGGGAGCAAGTCCGCGCCCAGGATCCGAACCAGGGAACGCCGGGCCGCTGAAGCGGTGCGCGAGAAGCCAACCGGTATACCACCGGGCCGGCCCCAAGTCACTTTTTTAAAAGCACTGAGAAGTATAATTTGAGAGAGACTCCATTTGGAATGCCGAGGCCTAGGCGTTGCAATCCTCCTCTTTTAGTCTTCTCTGGGGTTTAGCTGGCCCTCATCTTCCATTCATCGTTAACACTAAGACCAAGAACTGCCTGAGCTCTCAGTGGTCCTGGAGTGAACGGGCCAGTGTTTTAATAACTCATAAGTCTCTGAGTGGGTGCTGTGTCTATTGATGTTTAACCTAATGTTTCATCCCAGAGAAACTGCATCTATGAAAGTTGGGTTCTGCGTTTGAAAAACTTGGATCAGATGGTTATCCCAGAAACAATCTCCTCCCTCATCCACAATGAACCTTTAAAGTCCTGGTGAAAACCAGAGTCCTCTTGCATCAGCCTTTTGTCCCGAGTGTTGAGCAGGAAGATGCTGCCTGGCGGAAGGAGGAAGGAAATGAGTGAGATTCCTCTCGTAAATTACCTCCAAGCTGTCACCAAACCATGCCGCTTCCTTCAGAACAGCCTCAGAAAGAGAGGTGACCTTTGACCACCCTGGACTTCGTCACCTATGCCCCATATGAACCTCTCCATGTTTGCCATTTAATCAGTGTGCTGTGCAGCAACCACTAGCTGCCTGTAAGTTGCGATAGGTTGAGAATTTGACAGACTTGATAAAGACAATCAAGTTGTTGAAGCTGCTTTCTCTTTTTCAGCTTAATGCTCATGTCTTTCTCACAGTTCTGTATGACCTTGGGCAACTCTCAATTGCTCTCAGCCTAGAGTTTTCCCAAATTAAGTGAAATTATCCATATAAGGCAGTTAGCACAAAATAAGTGTTTGGTAATTGTTGATGAGGATGGAGTAGAAAACAACTAGATAGTGAGCAGTATTTTTCTTTTTCTTTTCTTTATAACACTTTTTTCCTAGCCCCATTGTCTGTTTTCTGTGGCCCCATACCATCACAACACCCACACACTTTTAAAGAAGGTCTCCAAGGCTGGAGACTTCTCACTCTCTAATTGGGGTAAAATCTGAATATATTTGTAATATGACGAGGTGTGCCATCTTACTCACGTCCAGCTTCTTCTTCACGTCCACCCACAATGAATCACAGGGACAACCATCTCCGAGGGATTTGCCTTTATATTTCTGGCTGCATTCTTAGCCTTCTGCAGCTCCCTGATACAAGTACCGGGATTTCTCTGACTCAGTATTACTAAATAAATAACCAACTGCAGATGAATGGATATAGGACCACATTCAAACAAGGGTAACTCAAGAAGGATTTATAAACGGACTGTTTACAAAGGGGTGGGCAGAGAAAGGCAAACCACAAGGGATAATGCAATTACATGGGGCTGGTAAACAGAGCCGTTACCCATCTCTAGGCCCAGAGGGGTGGGACCTGTGGAGTGAGTGGTTCCTAGAACCCCAAGGCAGAGGTTTGTGTAGAAAGGGCCACCTTGAGAGGAGTGTGACTTTTGGTTGTAAGTGCAGCCAGTTTGAGACAAATCCATAGGGAAGAGTCAGGAGAATAAATTCCCTGACCTCACTTTCCTCCTTCTCTCTGATCTGCCAAGGCTCCTTCTTAGCCAAATACTATTGGAAGCCAGAGGACAAGGGAGCCCATTGAGGTCAGCTTCCCAGGGCAGGACAGAGAAGGGTGGACAGTGGATCTGGAGGGGCAAATGGAAGATATCCCGCACATTAAATAAATAAAGGTGGGCCATGCATGGATCAATGATGACCAAAGATGACTGGTGATATGAACCAAGGATTGTAGTTTATGCAATGCCTTACAACTGGAGTCCTTAAAAAAAAATCAGCTCACTCCTAATAACCTATTTTTAAAAAACCTTCAGCTTTTGTTTTATGACTAGATTTTCAAAATCTGTATTATTGTTACTCATGTTAACAGTCCAGTCTCTGACATTATTTGTCTTTGATTCTGAATATTCCCCTGTCTGAATATTCTGGCATGAGGCAACTGGGGGTGGCCACTTCCCACCCACCGAGGAAGAACTGCTTGGTACTCAATCTGGTTGCACGGGGGGCCTTAGGCAGACACCACTGTGGTCCCACCAGGGAACTCTGGGAGCAGGCTCTGTGAGTCCGCCCCCATCTAGCACTTTCAGAGTGGACATCAGAGTGTACTCTTCTCCTGCAGGTGGAGGAAGGGGTGGGAAAAGCAGGACAAAGGCATAGAATTTGCTGGAGAAACCACAGCTGAGGACTGGAAGCAGAAATCCACCTGCTCGTCCCATCCTTCTCACCATACTGGAAGAAACCTGGGAAATAGCCTTTGGATCCTAGTGATGGACTAACTGACTAAGAAAAGCCCACAGCCTTCTATAGTCCTAACGTCTTCTCAGTTTGCCACTCTGTAAGGCTAAGCCCTAAGAATAGGTAGAGTGGGTGGTGAGCTCCATGGTGTGACTTCAGCGGCTTCAAAAGGCCTGCCCGACCCCGGACTATCTCCCTTGTTGGCCTGAGGGTCTGTCTGAAGTTTCCATCATTCAAGTCATTCTTTTATGCTAAGAATTTGCTTCAGGAAGTCCTCTGCTAAAATGTACATGCTGCCTGAAAGGGTGTGGTGCACATTTGCCTTTCTTTTTGTCTTCTCAACATCAAACTTCCCTTCCTGTTTTGAGTATTATGAATATTTGTAGGAAGCAGAGCCCATTTTCTATATATAGACACCTCACCAGAAGGTACAGCATTTGCTGTCCCAGCCCCTCTTATAGCCAGGACAGGGGCACACGACCTCAGGTCAACCAACTGGTCCACTTGCTCCAGACTGTGCTTCAGGAGCTAGTGACACAAGATAACAGAATTGGTGAGAGCATTCATTTTGGCAATGGGTGGCAACAGCGGCAGGATCCTGGGGGCACTAGCCCTGTCCAGAACTGTTGGTGGCAGCAGTGCAAACTGTGGTGTCCAGGAGTAAGGGTTGGCTACAGTCATGTTCTCACAATTATTGTTTATGGCATGATTTGGGCTGTGGTCCCAACTGCTGCGTAGCATCCCCTGTTCCCGCCCATTTCCGAAGCCTGTTCCTCAGCCTTCCCAGAGAGACTACAGCTTCCCAACATGCTTTTACTAAATCCCCATGATACTTCAATCAGACAGACTCATCTTCAGTTGCAAGAAACTAGGAACACTGAACGATACAAGGGGTGACACATTAACTCAAGAGAAGCCAAAAATGTACCAGCCACGGGTAGATTCACTTGTCTAAGTAGCTAGCTGTCACCTTGGGAAACAGCAGGACTCCAGGAAAGAGTTTTTGTTGATGGGGGAGGAAATCAGGAGAGTGGTCTTACGGGCATTGGCTGATGGGGCTTTCTGAAAGGGACACTGGACAGAGGCTTTAACGCAACTTGAGGACATCAAGTCACCAGGCTGGGGCAGTGCAGGATGCAGAGAGACACGCTGACAGGAAAGGTGGAGGTGCAATAAGGGCATTGGCTCCCACGGCTGACACCAATGCCACTGAGAGTGGAGCCTCACTGAGATGGCCTTGTTCATACCCTGCTAGAGCGTCCAGGGGAAGTTTCTGCTTTAAGACCACTGATTTTATCTTTGATTTGCCTAAACATTTCTGCTGACATTGGCCTTCATGGTAATAGTAATCACTTTGTGGGATTTCTATCCTCTCCCCACCCCACCCCCACCCCTACCACTGCAGGTGGACTCTCTGTGACTTAATAAGCAGGGACAGAAAGTGCAGGACAGTGTCAAGTCTAAACTACTGAAAGGGCGAGGGCTGTGTCTTTATTACCTTTTCCCCCAGAGCGGAGCACAGAAATGGCTCACTATTCACTGAGGGAAGGAAGGGAAGGAGACAGGAAACTAGGAATGTAGTGAATACAGACACTGGACATCTGCTAAGAAGCTGTTTGTGGTTTTTTGTGAAGAGTAGGGGTAGTCCACAAGTTAGCAGAATTCACTCCTTTCTGCATTCCTCTTTACTTTCCTTGAGAACAAGGACTGTGCCTGGTGTTCGGTTTACTGCATGAATAAACTCAGGGACCAGTTATTGTTCCCTCAGCTTTTCCATGGAAGGGTCATGTTTGCCCGCCAGAGACCACAGGTGTGACCCCAGGGCAACTAGAGAGGACCCTGCCGGCAGAAGGCCCACTCTGGCTGCAGTGGTGATTCAAGCCAAGGCAGCAGGTGAGAGATCTCATGGCAGACTCCCCTGCTCAGCTCTGACATTCTTGTCCTTGGTGCACCCTCAGGGCACTGACTCGCACCATCCCTGGGACACGCTCTTGGAGTTGTTTTTGCTGTAGGGTAGCACTGAATCACCACCCTTTCTCACCAGCTCCATGGATGTCACCAAGGGAAGGGCACAGAAAAATAATCTAAGGGAAACCATCAAAAAACATTAAAGAAAGAAAAAACACAAGCTCCATTTGATTTAAAAAATATTTATGAGACACGTTTTTTATTTTCATAGAATGTCACTTAATAAATATTTTACCAGAATAATGAGGACGAATCATAATGATGGAGAAAGAACTTGGGCGACTAAGGGATAGAAACATTTTAAACATTTTAACATTTTAAGGTTTAACTCAATTCATCAGATTTGTCCTCTGCATCACATCTTGAGATCTGGCAGAGAAAGTGTCCTTACACTCACAGACCAAATTTCTAACCATGGCATGTAGCCAGGTCAGTATATGGAGGACCAGTGGCAGCGGCTCTTGATGACCTGAAGCAGAGGCTTCCTAAAAGTGAGGAAGATGATGGTGCAGGCCACCAGCAGGGTGAGGCAGCTGGGAAGAATGAGCACGAGGTACAGCAGGCCCATGTCTACCTGCTCCCACTTACAGTCCTGAGGCACACCTTCGGGCAGGTCCATCAGGCGAATGACCTTGGAGGAGAGGTTGCAAGTGACCATGGCCAAGTCAACGATGGTGTGCAGGCTCTGCAGGGTCCCCCAGCTCTCCACCCTACAGCAGTCATACGGATTCTGACTGAGGTAGACGGTCCGCAGACTTCCCATGAGCTGCTCAGACACAGCCCTCTGGGGAAGAGCTGTGAGCAAGTTTCTGCGGAGATCCAGGGTCTGCAGGGCCAGGCTGCCCTTGAACCTTGGGAAACTGGTCAAGAAATTTCCCGACAGATCCAAGTCCCTCAGATTCCCAAATCCAGAGAAGTCCAACTCTGTGAAGCTGGAACTGAGGCCCACGTTCCTGAGAGATAGGACCTGTAACGTGGGGGCAATATCTCTGAGAGGGGCGATGCTCCCATTCAGGACCCCCCGATTGCCGGACAGGTCTAAGTGGGTGAGGGCGGTCCCCTGGAATGAGCAGTCTTGTAATGGCTCCAGCCCACAGCCCTCCAGAGAGAGGCTCTTCAAAGATGCCACATTCCTGAAATCCACACAGCTGGGGGTGCCCACACGGTCTACGCCAGCTGGCCGGGGACAAAGTGAGATCTGATTGTGGCTCATGTCAATTGTAGTGATGTTACTGGCATCAGCGAAAAGGCCAGTGGGGACACCCAGGAGCTGGTTGAAGCTCAGGTTGAACCACCGCAGGCTCCTCAGGCAGCCAGGGAGCCCCGGAGCCAAATGCAGCTCCGACAGCTGGTTCTGGCTCAGATCCAGCTCCGTGAGCGCTCCTGGGGGCTCATGCTCCCGGATGTGGAGCGTCATCAGGCAATTCTGGTTGAGGTTCAGGCGGGAGAGGGAAGGCATTTTCTTTAGGAAGCCGACTGGCAGGTACTGGAACTGGTTCTGGCTCATATCCAGGAAGCGAAGCTCTGAGAGGTCGCTGGAAGCAAACTCTTCCCAGAGGTTGACAGTGGTGATGTTGGTCACGTTGCCATCCACAAGGAGGAACTGGGCCACCATCTCCTGTGGTGACGAGGTGTTGTACAGGTCCCTGAAGAAGCCCATGTTGTTGTCCCGCAGCAGGAGGGTGTGTAACTTGCTGCACTGGGGCAGGAGCGGGAAAAACAGCAGCTGGTTGTGAGAGAGGTCCAGTGTCTCCAGCTCAAAGGCAGCCTCTCCCCCTGACGCCAGGAACCATTCCAGGGCATTATAGCTGACGTTGAGGGACCGCAGCTGTGTGAGGCTGAAGTCCACAATGCAAGGGAGGTTGTTATAGGCCAGGTTGAGGTGCCTCAGCTCAGTTAAGCCATCAAAAGCACCCCCTTCAATCTCAAAGATGTAGTTCCTCTGCAAATCCAGCTCCTTGAGGTGCCCCAGGCCCTCAAAGACTGAGTCATCCAGCCTCATGATCGTGTTCCTCGCCAGGAACACAGACTCCAGGGAAGAGAGGTTCTGGAGCATGAGGGCTGCCATGTCTTCCGTCAGCGCATTCCCTGACAAGTCCAGCCTCCGCAGACCCCGCAGGCTGTGGAGGGCGGCTGCCGTCTCCTTGTAGCTCTCCGAGAGGGAGTTGTCAGGCAGCTCCAGGCTGCGCAGGAGGGCCTGCTCCTGGAAGGCGCTGCGGCCGATGCGCTCCAGGTGGCAGCTGTGCAGACTGAGGCTCTCCAGGAGAGGGTAATGCTGAAGGGAATGATTCCACAGGGTCTTGAGAGGGTTGGTATCCAGGATTAGTGTCTGGGAGTAGGGCGGCAGGTTGCTGGGTACTGAAGCAAGGTTCTGCCCGCGACAGTCAGCAAGTCCATCCACCTAGGTCCAAAACACACTGGTCAGCAGGGAGGAGCCTCTGAGGCAGAGGTTTATGTACAGAAACTTAGTTCACTCATCAGACTATTTCTGCCACTGCTGGGAATGGCTCTAGAGATGATAACTTTTTTAAAAGGATAAGAACAATTTGTTCTTTACCTTCACACTGAAATAGTCAGCTAGGAGCTGAGTTCCAGGCCTCACTGAAAACACACAGCTGAATGGGGACAATTGTATTTGTGTTTGGTTTTAACTATGACGGGGATTGAGGACCAGGTCTGCCATTTATTCCCTGTGTAACCTTTGGCAAATAATTTAGCCTTCGTCTGTTATTCCTCTGAAGAATGGAGATAAAGAGAGTATGTACTTCAGAGGATGGCAGTGAGATTAGATGAGAGGCTGCAGGGTGCCTGACACACTGTGGGCACTATCAGTGCAAACACACGATGGCACTGTTATCACTAGTATCATTGCACCGGTGTGTCTGACAGGGACACTGCCCAACAATCAACAGTGCTGTGGCATCTTCATTTCACCCAAAGGGATTTTGCCTGGGACACTCCTCTACATTCCAGATTGATACATATTACAGCTTAAAAGGACTTTAGAGCTCATCACCACCCTGAATTGTACAGAAAAGTAAAGTGGGGTCCAGAGAAGAGAAGTGAAGAGCCAACGGCAGAGCTGGGACTGGAGCCCAGAGCTCTTACTGCCTGATTCCGTGCTTTTCCTGGATGCTGTTCTACCATGACTGCAGCGCGGGGAGGCGGGATGGATGGGGCGACCCTGTTCTCGCTGCAGACGTCACACAAGCCTTAGGATACCTGAACTCCGCCCAATATTTTACAAGATTGGAAAAAACAATCAGCCACAGGATGTCATTAGGTGTCCAGGAGAAAAGTTTTAAGTGATAAGATAGAAGAGCGATGGCACGGGCCGTGGCTTAGCGGTTAAGTGTGCGCACTCTGCTACTGGCGGCCCGGGTTCGGATCCCGGGCGGGCACCAACGTACAGCTTCTCCGGCCATGCTGAGGCTGCGTCCCACATACAGCAACTAGAAGGATGTGCAACTATGACACACAACTATCTACTGGGGCTTTGGGGGAAAATGAATAAATAAATAAATAAAATAAAATAAAAAAAGAGCGATGGCATTCCTTTCCATAGATTGGTCAGTAAGACAAGGCCAGGGATAGCCTAAAATTGTGGGCCCAATCCCAGGTGGCAAGTGGAGTAGTGGAACAGGGAGGAAAACCCTGACAGAGAGGAAGAAGCACAGGTTTGGAGAGATGACAGACTCAAGTCTGAATCCTGGCTCTGCCACTTAATAGCTTTGGACCTGGGCAAGGAATTAACCTCTTGGAGCCCCAAGTTCTTTATCTGATTGTTAAAATAAAACTTTCTAATAATTAAACATTGATACAGTATAGAAATACAGAAAATTAAACTCTTCAGTAACCTCAGCCTCTCCCTCAAAGAAATGTCACTAACCTTTTGTTACATCTCCTTCTGGACTCTTTCCTACAGATATTATCTATCTTTAAAAAAAAAATTTTTTTTTAAATGAGACCACACTCGGTTTGTAAACCGTTCAGTAATCTATCTTTTCCCCCCTCAATGATATGTGATAGATATATTGGCAATCAAAATAAATTCAATCATTCTTTTTAGCAACTGATATTAGTTCGTTGCATGAATAGCACAGTGGTTAAGGGCAAGAGTTCTAGGATTAGTCCACTTTTTATCAAATGGGTGACCTTGGGCTGGTTACCTAACCAGTTGGACCCTCATTACTTTACCTGTAAAATGGAAACTAGACTTGTAATTTTCTCATAGGGTTTTTTTTTTTTTTGAGGTTTCAATGTGATTGTTTATGTAAAACCCTTAACACAGAACCTGGCAGCACATAAATGCTTTTTTTTTTTTTTAAAGATTTTATTTATTTATTTTTCCCCCAAAGCCCCAGTACATAGTTGTCTGTCATAGCTGCACATCCTTCTAGTTGCTGTATGTGGGATGCGGCCTCAGCATGGCTGGAAGAGTGGTGCCTCGGTGCGCACCCGGGATCCGAACCCGGGCCGCCGGCAGCGGAGAGCACGCACTTAACCGCTAAGCCACGGGGCCGGCCCACACAAATGCTTAATAAAAGTTAGCTATAATGATTAGCATGATCTAATTAATTCATCTCCTATTGTTGAGCATTTGAGTTGTTTCTAATTTCCAGATGAACATTAGAATGAATTTGTCAAGTTCCTTCCACACCTCCCCTCCCCTAAAAGTCTTTGAAATTTTGATTAGGACTTCATTATGATTATGGCTTAATTTGGGGGAGAACGGACATCTTTACAAAATTGAATCTCCCCATGCAGAAACAAAGTGTATTTCTTGAGTAAGTGTTGGTCTTTCCCTCAACAGGGCCTCTCTGGAGAATGTTGTGGTTAGGGGCTTTACTCAAGCTGTGACATTTATTTCACCACAGCTGCTGCAGTCGTGGGGGTCACACCTCTGCAATTCCATGCAGCCCCACTGAAGTGCTGAAAAAGGACCATGTGGCCGTCAGAGCCCAAGAAAACCTCACCATGTCCACTTTATGATAATGTCTCACGGCTAACGTAAGGAGGGGCAGTGGAGGGGACCTGACTCTCAAACTCTTAGCCCTCGATTCAAAAGAACCACAGGAAATCCACTCTTGGAGCCCACTGGCAGCCAAGTCCCTACTCCTGCCCACCAGGCTGGAAGGGTCAGGTAGGGAGTCTCGCCTGAACCCTGAAAGGCTGTGGAAGAACTCACGCTTTACTCCCTCCTCTTCCTATGCCTGGTCACTCCTGACTTAGCTACTGTGAAGCTAATCTTTCATAGCCTCTGTGAGTGAATCATAGAAGTCTGTATAGCAAAGACTAACAACAACAATAACAATAATAATAACAATAGATAAAACACATAGCATTTATTATACACAAGACACTGTTTTGAGTGCTTTACATACATTAACTCATTTAATCATCATAACAACCTAGTGTATGGTATTATTGGTACTATTATTACCTCCATGTTTTACAGATGAGGAAACAGAGGCACAGAGTGGCCCCAATGTTACCAGCCAGTAAACTGGGGTTTAAACCTGGTCTGGCTCATAACCCCTACCCCATACTAGAGTATACTACAGCGTGGTAGTTAGTGGTTAATAAAAGGGGCGAAGAACCATGATCAGCTGGGTTTTTAAGATTCATCAGCTTTAAGAACAAGTTTTTAAATGTAAGCCCTGATATCCAATTTGTCTTCCCAGTGCTTAGTATATAAAAGGGCTCAAGGAGTGTTTATTAATGTATGTTTCTCAAGCAGACTTTTGATATCACTGAGTTGTAGACAAAGGAGAAAATTTCTAGAAACATGCTCAGTTGTTATGAGCCAAGTCTGCTTCCACATACAGGCTAAAAGCCCTGGAGACGATAAACAGTAAAAGCTCAGGGATCTACCCCTGGATGGTCTTAACCCTGAGCGTGGTCAAGGATATTGCTCTGCAGTGCAGCGTGGGCAGCATGCTCTTCAGCACAGCTGTTTAAGCATTTGCTATCAGCCCATACACAAACTCGGAGACAGGACTTCCCCAACTTTAATGTGCCTCACCCAGAGATTCTGATATCATTAGAGGGGCTCACTCATCCAGATTTTTAACAAGGTGTTCTTATTCCAGGTAGCTGACCTAGGCCTGTCTCTGGGGCCTCCTGTCTTCAGCAGGTATGAAGAAGGTGGGGCAGGGACTGCCTGGCCTTTCCCAGGCATCATCTTAACCTTCGGTTAAAGAGCAGCTTGCACATGGCATCGTGCTAGGCAGGTATGGTGAATCAGACTCATGCATTCCCTGCCCTCCTTAATTGACAATCCATCAGCTTTCCAAACAGACCAAACCTTGTCAGGACAGGAGCAACGGACAACTCAGAGTTCCCAGGAAAACTCACCAACTCACAGCCCCCCTGGGAAGCTGCTGTGGCCATTCCACTTCGGTTCCTCCATTCCACTATCAAGAAGTGAAAACCCAGGCAGAGCCAGAGGGGCAGTAACTCCATCTCAAGTGCAGCACTGTGGACAGAGGGCAAGGAAGAAGCGAGTAAGAGAAGGACATCCCAGAAGGCTACTTTGCATTCTCAGTAGAAGGAGCCAGTTCCCAGTGACATCTGGTCTTGGAGGCCCACAGTGACAAGGAGGTGGAAACCCAGAGATTATTCAAATACCTCAAGGTAGCCAACATTTTCAACCTTTCACTGCAACTGTCAACAAGAACTCATTTTCATTTTGCTTCTACCATTTGATGGACAGGTGGCTGAACACTGAAACTCCCAAGAATCCAGCAACAGAAGAGAGAAGCAAAGGATTTGAGGGACCAAGTCTCAGGTCACCTAGAGTTTGCCACGTTTTGTAGTTCTGTTGAAGTTTTCCTCCCAAAGCTCAAATCTGCCTGATGCATCGCCTGAGCTCAATAAATATTTGCTGAATGAATGAATGGTGAACTGGGATTGAAATATTAATTGTAGCCCCTGGGCCCACAGAGTTACTAATTGTTGTGCGGACATGAGGCTTTTAGAAAAGAGCAGATCCTATTGGTTAACTCATTTGAATATAGCCCTTTGAAAAAAAGATTTTGATATTTTGCCTGGATAAGGGAAAAAACTGAGGGGAAAACGAAAAGCAATCTTCAGATATAATGAGGATTATTGATGAAATGTGGTTGCCAGCCCTCTTACCTGGCCAGTGAGCACAGAACAGGAGTCATGAGAAGGCTTAAAATTATACAAATACCAAGAGAACTTTAGAACTAAGAGAAACTATAATGGAAATGTAATAAATCTTCCACCATCCCATTTTTACAGGTGAATATGGAAAGGCCCAGAGATAATAATGGCTTATTTAAGATTCCAGATTGACTTAGTGGTAGGGCTGGGAGCAGCCCTCCGCGAGCCTCAGGATGAGTAACCAGGGTAATTCCTCTCCCTGTAAGTGCTGTTGAGTTGACTACTCACCTGTTGGGGGTGTTTATAGCTCAATGGCATCCCCTCCCAGCTCTGCATTCTTCAGCATCAGGGGCAGGTGCCTGGCCCCAGCTTTCCTCCTGCCCCATCCTCTCCTTGACATCTACCCAGGAAGGACCTCAGGGTCTGCTCTCTAGTCTTCTCCTGGGCCAGCAGCCCCAGCACTAACACGAAGCTCCTCACCTATTCCATGGGATCCTCAGACCTTTCTGCCTGACACTTCTAGGCCATCTCGGGCCCCTTCCTCTTTCCCTTTCTTCGAATAAGTTTACACATCTCTAAGGCTAATTTTAACTTCCTAGTCAGATTTGAATACTCACCAGTGATAACAGACCAACAGAAAAGCTAAGTGAAACCAGGTAAATCAACTTTAGCCTTCACCTCAGGTCAGGTCAGGTCTCCTTACCACAGCGGGAACCTCCAATTCAGAATTCATCAGTATTTACAGACACTGGGAATCCCCTTCCTAGACCCTCCTTCCGCTTCTGTCCCTGTGCAGGAATTATTACCTCATGGCATGTACAGGGACAGATGGCAAAAACAGAGCCATATGGGCTCCTGTCCTCAGTATCCTCCCAACACACACACACACACACGCGTGAAACCTTGGGATCATTTGTCCGCTTTGAGATAAGGTTGCCAGACTTAGCAAATTATAAGATGCCATTTGAATGTCAGATAAACAACAAATAATTTTTTGGTGTAAATATCTCCCATTCAATATTCGGGACATACTTATACTAAAAAAATTCATTGTTTATCTGACACTCAAATCTCAGTGAGAGTCCTGTATTTTATTGAAGAGAGATGGGGAGATGGGAACCGTGCACGTGCTCCCTCCCCTCCTCTCTCACCTGACCCGTCGGTGTGTTGGGCTTGGGATGGTACATGCTGCTGTGACACTGACCCTTCCAGAACAGCCAGCCTGTATACTGAAATACTGAATGTGTACAGGGCAAGAGTGCAATTTCATTTTTTTTTTTTTGTGAGGAAGATCAGCCCTGAGCTAACATCTGCCAATCCTCCTCTTTTTGCTGAGGAAGACTGGCCCTGGGCTAACATCCATGCCCATTTTCCTCCACTTTATATGGGACGCCTGCCACAGCATGGCCTGACAAGTGGTACGTCTGTGCGCGCCCAGGATCCGAACCGGCGAACCCTGGGCCGCCACAGCAGAGCACGCGCACTCAACCGCTTGCGCCACCAGGCTGGCCCCAAGAGTGCAATTTCTTCAGGGAGAATGTAACTCTTCAGATTGGAATGCTGGATAGGCCTGGTGTCACGACCAGAGTGTAATTTTCATTTCTGGGTCAACAAGAAAATTTCTGCAAATTTAAAAACATATTTTCTTCTTCCTCCTAAGCTAGGCCAACCAGCCCAAAAAAACTCTTGCTGTGCCCTCTGGGCAACTCCTTCTCTCATGAGGCAGCACGGAAAGATTATAGGATGTGGAACCAAACCGACCAGGGTTTGAATTCTGGCCCAGTTTTTGTTGTTTGTCCTCGAGAAATTCACATAAAGTCTCCAAGACTCACATAATCCTTCTATAAAATGGGATAATAATAACTATTCAGAATTTTTATGAGAATCAAATAGTATATGTGAAAGTGCTTCATTAACTATAATGGTAGTTAATAACACAATTATTATTTATGAGTTTCAAATACCAATGAGCTGGTAGCGTGGTTGTTATTCCTATGCATAATCTCCAAGGTAATTCAACAGCTACACAAAGAAGGAAAAAGAATGAATAATTTGACTGGAAGAATGGATACATCATCATACCAACTAAATGTGTGAAAGGTATGCGGGAAGGTTGGGTTAAAAATTCTACATTAATAAATTCCAAAACAAGGTTAATCCCAGTAACAGGTGACTATGCTGGTTGAGAGCTGTTTGTCCTCAGATCCATGCCTTACCCTTCCCCGACCCTGCTCTATATCACAGGAGACTGACTTCCGAAGGCTCTGTTTCCTAAGCTCTGGGTGTCAGCTGGCCTCCAGCTGGTAGGTCAATGGGAGGCACTACTGGAGGTCAAATGACAGAAGAAGAGAGTCCAGGGTATTGCCCTCCCTCTCTGCCTTGGACAGAGAAGTCTTTGAGCTTCTTCTGGTGACTCCTAGGCTCTGGTAACACCCCTCTTCCCTTTATCCTACCCCTCCTTAGAGGAAGTAGCAGCTTCCTTGAATTGCTAATCTCTGAGTTGACTATCTATTCTCTGGTTGATGTCTCAGTGTCTTCCATCACGTGTAGCCAATTTCCTGCATTAAATTTCCTTTGTTTAAAAATCTGGGTGTTTCTGTTTCCTGGTTGGACCTTGGCTGACACAATGATGTAAATGTGAGCGCTTTGGAGCAGTACTAAAAAAAAATGTCTGTAATGGCTCTGAAAAGAAAGAAAAGACTTCCAAAATAATAACCATTCGGGCTGAGAAACACTGTTCCTGAAGTGTGTAGCTGCAGAAGTCTTCTTCAGAGGCATGGCACTGCAGAGTACAAGGTAAACAGTTTGGATGCCAAATCTCATTGGAAAATCCCATGAATCCTCTCCTGTGTGCACAGGACTGCCTCCCCTCCAATTGGGTGAGGACCACTCAACAATGCTCCAGCTGAAAGAGAATATCTAAGTGTGCAATTAAGTAACTGTCCCACTTTACTCCTCTCTCTCTGACATCTTCTGAAAAATACATCCATTTTTTAAGCCAAATCATCTTAGATACATTTTTGGTGAAGAAAGAGAAGTGCATGAAAAACACTTATGATGGAGGGCACATATGGCAGTATGACATTAATAATTTAAAGGAGGTAACCTGGAAGCTCCCCTCATTATAATTAAAAGGGCTTGGATCAACGGTTCCCTTTTCATGGACTGTGAACCACTGCGGAAGCCACAGGATTAACACAATGGAACTGCAAATCAACCCATGTTCCAAGTAGGGTATCAATATGGTACTTATTGATAAGTAAGTATCAGTTACTTATCAATACTTAGAAGTATTGATAAGTAATAAGTACCGTGTCTCCTCCTGGTCTGAGTGACCACTGGGAAAATATTTTATATAAGACCTGAGATCCTGACACGAGAAACAGATGACATTAACAGACTCTGCTTAAACCAGATAACAAAGTCAAAGAGTTCCTTCCAAGTATGGAGGCAGAAAATGGTAAGTCTCATTCTCTTTTATATAGTCTATACATTCTATATTCTTTTATTCAGTAAACAATTTCTATACATTCTCTCTATATCTTTTATCCAGTCATGGTTATCATGATCGTGGCTAAAGCCAGAGACTGTGAGCTTCTAATTAGTGAAAAGCTTTGAAAGACAAGACACTATTGACCCAGGTGCTAACAGGAGACAAGATTCTGTACTATGTCTGTAACACATGTGACTTGGAGATATTAGGATTATATATCCTACCTCCCGTTAAAGTGAAGCCCTCTTTGTGTTGCATTTATATTTCTTCTTTATCTTCTCTAACTATTCTGTTTGTGTTCAGTCATCACAAAATGTCCTTGCTGGATCTTCTCTAAGAAGTCCTTGAAATACTAGGACCTCAAATGCTTAAGGGTATCCCCTATGTAACCATTAGTCTTGAGACTATGCATTCTAATTGGTTATCATGGAAACCTGGGATTCAACCCCTATCCATCCTTTGTCTATAGAGTGTTCCTTTTTAGTCAGAAAGATAACTGGCTTTCTGGCTTTTCTCTCTCCAGATCTGGTCATAACAAATAAGTGGTGAAAACAGATTTATTTCATAAAAACAACATGAATCGAGACTGTCTTTTGAACTAAGGAAGAAGGAAGAAGAATGCATATCAGCTGCAAAAATCCCTTTTTGTTTTAGAAATTATGCTTGTTTGCTTTTTCTGTTTCCACAAAATAATAGGGAAAAGCTCCTGTGTCACTGACCTAAGGTAAAAGAAGACTGACGGGATGGCCCCATGGGCTGTGTGGGACAATGAAAGGGATGGGAACATCCACTCCTTTTAGAAAGGGCAGCCCAATCCTGCCGGCAGTGGCTTGGCTGTAAGCTGGGGCAGCCCTTCC